CAACAACAACAACAACAAGCCATTAGATATTAGAATAGACTAAAAAAAATAATTGCCTGCTTAAAATCTTCCCCTGCAGTGAGCTATGAACCACTATGAAATACTAATCAGAGAGAACTTGAGAACAACTTGTGAACCGGATCAGTCCAGTAGATTGGGTTCAATTTATGAGGCCAGAATCAGCTGGTTCATAGAAAAGAACCGGCTTGATTCTCAATATCTGCTGTTGAAAAAGACTGATTGAGCTCTACTAAGTGACTCAATGATTTGTTCACGGCAGTTCAAAGGTTAATAGATCACTGGAAGGCAGCATTATCAGTGAATAACAACTTAAATGTCAGTCATATGTCATATGACCTTTTATGGTGTTTTGTTTCTTTCAAAGCTTGACAAACATGGTCACCATGAAATGTAATTGAATCTGCATAAAGATTCCTTAAAATTGCTACTTTTGTGTTTGACGGTGGAATAATAACTGTATATGGGTTTGGAACGACATGAGTGAGTACATAATGTCAGAATCTTCATTTTTGGGCAAACTAAACACATTAAGATTGACACATTGCTGTCATGGAGGTGAGTCTATCTTTAACAGTGAATCTAAAAAGCCTATATTTGCCAATTCAAGTTTGCACAGTGGTTTCACAGAAATGCAGAAGAAAATCCTTACATAATTCATAACTCGCTGCTTCAGTGGTCTCCTTTCTCGCTGCTCTCCCTGTCTGTCTCTCTCTACTGCCGCCCCATGTGTAAAGCAGTTTCTATATCTAAGTGTTGTAGTGCCTGCTCAGATAAGCAGAATTTGATTCAGTGTGATGGGAAGAAATTGTGTAACGGGGAAGGAAACTAGATTTTGGATGATCAAACTCCAGTAAAATTTTAGCATTACTAAATCATGTAAAAATCTGCTTTTGTATGTAAAGCAAAACAAGATGTATCATTATGGATATATTTCTTTGCGTAAAAGTCAAAATACTGGATAATGGGCTAAAAAAATAATTTTCTTCTGAGTGCATCACACTAACAAAAAATATGGTCACTTTTTTTCACCCGATTGAAAGCAAATAACGTTGCCAACAAGCAAAATTCCCACCAGGGGGCAACAATATCAACAATATCCTCCTGATGGAAGCCCACCTATTATGCTCTAACCTCATAACGCGTAAAAATGTCATATTATATCATACAGCTATTCTGAATCATATTGGCATATTGCTCTCATGGTGCACCGTGAGGCGGGAGACATGAAACATCTTGCTGAAGAAAGGAGGATTTATTGGAGGTTTGCAAGGGGCACAGTTTTTGAACCAAAAATGAACGTGAGATGTCTCTGGTTTCCGTAATCAATCTCCTACAGAATGCTAGATACTATGAATTCATGATCATTAAAAACAACAGTAAATAAAGCATAAAGAAATTTGGAGTAGTAAATACAAATTTAGAAAATGAATAGAAAATGTTTTACTAGCCATTTATTTCACCCGCAAACGATCTATCATGCATGCTTGTATTATTATTATAATGTTGTATTTATTTGCATGCACTTTCGTGCAAATACACTCACTCCAAATTCTGCACGCAGCTTAAAATACTTTACTGGCCATAATTTGTTTATTTATATGAATTTCGTCATTCAAACACTGTTGCGCAAAAGCGCGCATGCAGCAATCAAAACGCGTCATATTTATTTTTAACCTTCTGCAAATATCGCCAGCGCAAACGCGTCTCCATATTGCACACCAAACGAATCAAACTAAGCAATTTTCACTCACCACGCTTCTTTCAACGAAAGGATCCTGCTGTCTTTAAAGCTCTTGAGAATGAGACATAAGTGTTTAATTCGCTGGCATCAAGATACGGAGAACTGCGCTCGCCATGTCTCCATCCTTTCCTCATAGACGCGCTGGACGTCTCCAAGCTGCGCGCATCAGCCACGCGACGCTCCACACGCCTCCTGACGCTCGTGTTTCGGCTGGGGTGACAGAGAGAGGCGATGCTCCCCAAGACAAACCCCTTCTTTCCTGTCTGATGGCAGAGTGAGGGTGGGGTAGACCATGCGAATCCTGCTTCAACCTAACATCACCACCTTCAGCGTCAGAAGAAGCACATGCATGCTGAGTTGATCTTGTTTCTTGGCAGAAATGAATATCGTTTCATATTTTACTTATTTAACGTGGAACTGTTTAACGTTAGAATTAATTGAAAGAAGTCTTCCTAACACCTCTGACATCTTAGGCATCTTGTCTACATTTGATTTCTAATTAGCCTGCACATGGGGCATTACCAGAACAGCAATAGCTATGTCAAAACAGCTTTTCACACTATAAACTCACCCTGGTCGTATTTTTAAATGTTAAGCAACATTTCACAATTCACATATGATTAGAACAGCTTTTGAACACGTTATGAAGCCCTGCTCCAGTCAAAGGTATAAAATGAGAAATGATGTAGCAGTAGAATTGTTTCGCAGCAGACAGCCAATCATAAACCTGCTTGCCTCATTAAATATTCATGAACTCCTTTGTGCAGTCACAGGAACTTTACAGTAAAATACAGCATTCTTAAAAACACTCCTACATAGACTGTCAAATTGTTGAATTTCTCTCTTAATTGTATAGTTGTTACATTAAATTGTTGCATTTCAGTGTAAAACACTCGTAAAATTATTTTGATTGGGTTGTTTTGACCCAGCTATTGGATTGTTTTGAACCCAGC